TGCTTCCTCAATCGGATTCAGGTCCGGGGAGTACAGTGGGAGGAAGATGATTCGGACACCTGAAATAGAAACTATTGGACATTGATAAGGCACAAAGAATCAAGAAAGCATACCAAATCTCTCGGCAAGCTCTAATATCTCCGCTCCATGATGGATACGGGCATTATCCATGACAAGAACGCTAAGTTTGCCAGGGTACGGCGATGTCAAGGGCATCTAATAGAGATTGTGCTGTCATGTCAGACCTATCAGGGAATAGAAAACACAATACTCACAACGGTGTGCTCAAGAAAATAGAGGAATTTCTCCCTTGTCATGGAACCCTCAACAACCGTGCTGGCGACAATTCCATCCAGTGTGAGCAAACCCTCTCCAGACACTCTACGCCTGCGCACGAAAACACCCCTCATACAAGCTCGTCTTCCCTTCTTCGCTCGACCACGATGGTGCTGGGTAGTTCATTCATCCTTTGAGAATTCATCGAGGAATCCAATTTCCTCGGCACTGTACTGGCCCATTCGCCGGATGAAGTCCGCTCGTAGATCTTCATCCACTAGTGGGTACCACCTTTATCATAAAAATAAGGTAACTGCCTAAGGCTCCCTGTGTATAAGTCCACAGTCTTTATGATAGGAATCATTCCAGTTACCATGCATTTTCATGTGACCATCATCCCAACATCCTCTTACATGGACCCTGATAGGTAAAGTCATTCTCCTCTTGGTTTTCTTCACTTTTTAGTCAAACCAGGTGATATTTCCCTTTTGGGATGGACCCTGAAGTGGACCCTGAAGGCAGTGCCTGATGTTCTGTATTCAAAGCATTCATGCCCTGGGTATCCATTGAAAAATCACAATGAAATACCCAGGGCTACATTTGAAAAATCGCAATGAAATGCACAGGGCCACATTTGGAAAATCACAATGAAATACCCAGGGCTACATTTGAAAAATCACAATGAAATGCCCAGGGCTACATTTGAAAAATCGCAATGATATTGCTCATGTAGCTAATGAAAGTTGCAATGATATCACCCAGGCACCTAATGAAAATTGCAATGATATCAGCCAGATAAATAATGAAAATTACAATGATATTGACCAAGTAGCTAATGAAATTTCCAATGATATCGCCCAGGTTTCTAATGAAAATGGCAATGATATCGGCCAGATAAATAATGAAAATCACAATGATATTGACCAAGTAGCTAATGAAATTTCCAATGATATCGCCCAGGTTTCTAATGAAATTTCCAATGATATCACCAAGGTTTCTAATGAAAATTGCAATGATATCGCCCAGGTTTCTAATGAAAATCACAATGATATCAGCCAGATAACTAATGAAAATCGCAAATGATATTGACCAAGTAGCTAATGAAATTTCCAATGATATCGTCCAGGTTTCTAATGAAAATCGCAATGATATTGGCCAGATAAATAATGAAAAGCACAATGATATCGGCCAGATAACTAATGAAAATCGCATAATGAATAGACATGGTAACTGGAATGATTCCTATCATAAAGACTGTGGACTTATACACAGGGAGCCCTAGGCAGTTACCTTATTTATATGATAAAAGTGGTACCCACCAGTCCTTCATCGTGTTCCTTCACAATGATCCGCAATTTCTTCACAGATACCCCAGCACGCTCTAATTCCCAGTGAATAGTCGTGTAATGCACCAATATGAACCTGTTTGTATCAAGAAGATCGAGAAGCTCATCCAAAAACCAGTCAGGCTGTTGATGGACCAAAGCCAAGAGATAGGTTACGTCGTCGAAGTGTAGTTTTTTCGGCCAACCTCGGGTTGTGCATGTGGGAGGCACAATGTCACCGGTTTCCTGATAGAGCTTGCGTACATGCCAGAAGGTTCGCTCCAAGAGTCCACAGCAGTCGAGAATGTCGTCGAGAGAAAGAAGATTCTTTTCATATAGCTTGATGGCAGCCAATTTCATGTCAGGCGATATTTTGCGGTAGACCATGGTAGTGAGACAAGTGGAAAGCAGTGAAAATGCTCAAATTTTTCTAATTGCATCATAGATATAATGTATTTCTATTTTCGCCCTACTGCCATCATTTATACAAATAGCTGTAAAATGTAAATTACTTTTGGGAATAATAGATGTACCAGACTTATTTTATAGAAGCACCAATTCCTAACAGAATTTGACGTTCTTGGGCTCATTTTGAACCTAATAGAGATGTTAATAAATCTACCAATTCATAATCTTAAAATATTAGCCTAAAGACCAGTCATAAACCGGTTAAAACCGATGCAGACCGAAACTGGTCTATAGACCGCAAAAAGACCACAGACCAAGGGG